GAAATCAAACTTACCTGTGTTACATGGACTGTACAGTGGAAGCAGGTTTGTGGCGTTGCCTGAAGCGCTCTGCCATCAGTCCCCTCGAACGCAGCGTGTGGAGGTCTGACGCTGCGCGCGGTCACAAGAAAGGAGCTACAGCCATTGGTTACTGGTGGTTACTTAACGTCTAGCTCTCCTTTTCTACCTCTCCATCATTATATACACGAAATGTGGAGGCAAGAGGTCCGGGCCAGTGCCCCAGCAGAATCTCTTGACTATCATTGGCTTTGAGCAGGGCTGAGCTGAGCTGGTGACCACATTGGCCTCACCCAGCACTGCAAATGTAAAACTGATATAGATGAACAAAAATAGAATGAAAAACAATAAATGGCCAACTGGAAATCAAAGATGCAATAAATAAAAAATCATGCTGTAGCTGCTTTGATTAGAATGCATGATATCACACTGCACACATACATCAGTTCAGTTTTTATAAGCCAACAAAGAAGCTGCAGTTGTGAAATATAGTTGCCTTTACAAAAAATAATTTGAAACGTAAAGTTGCAATTATGATAAAAGGCAAAATGATTTTATTATTATTATTATTAGTCACAATTGCATAACTTAAAGAGTTCACCCAAAAATTAAAATTGTCATTAATTACTCACCCTCTTGTCGTTCCAAACCTATTAGACCTTCGTTCATCTTCGGAAAACTAATTAAGGTATTTTTGATGAAATTCGAGAGCTTTCTGACCCTCCATAGACAGCAAGGGATTTACCACATTCAAGGCCCAGCAAATTAGCAAGGACATCGATAAAATAGTCCATGTGACATCAGTGGTTCAACCGTAATTTTATGAAGCTACGAGAATACGTTTTGTGCGCAAAGAAAACAAAAAATAACGACTTTATTCGGCAATTTCTTCTCTTCTATGTCAGTTTGACTTTTGTTCACAAGAGTACTACAACGTGTGTGTCGAAGACTGACACGGAGGAAAGGAAATGGTTGAATAAAGCCGTTATTTTTGTTTTCTTTGTGCACAGAAAGTATTCTTGTAACTTAATAAAATTATGGTTGAACCACTGATGTCACATGGACTATTTTATCGATGTCCTTCTTGTCGTTCCAAACCTATTAGACCTTCGTTCATCTTCGGAAAACTAATTAAGGTATTTTTGATGAAATTCGAGAGCTTTCTGACCCTCCATAGACAGCAAGGGATTTACCACATTCAAGGCCCAGCAAATTAGCAAGGACATCGATAAAATAGTCCATGTGACATCAGTGGTTCAACCGTAATTTTATGAAGCTACGAGAATACGTTTTGTGCGCAAAGAAAACAAAAAATAACGACTTTATTCGGCAATTTCTTCTCTTCTATGTCAGTTTGACTTTTGTTCACAAGAGTACTACAACGTGTGTGTCGAAGACTGACACGGAGGAAAGGAAATGGTTGAATAAAGCCGTTATTTTTGTTTTCTTTGTGCACAGAAAGTATTCTTGTAACTTAATAAAATTATGGTTGAACCACTGATGTCACATGGACTATTTTATCGATGTCCTTACTACCTTTCTGGGCCTTGAATGTGGTAGTTGCATTGCTGTCTATGCAAGGTCAGAAAGCTCTTGGAATTCATCGAAAATATCTTTGTGTTCCGAAGATGAACAGAGGTCTTACAGGTTTGGAACGACACGAGGGTGAGTAATTAATGACAGAATTTTCATTTTTTGGGTGAACTATACCTTTAAAGCCACAGTTACTCCTTAACTTACAAAAGTTGCTGTGTAGATTCTTTTAAAGACCTTTTGGTCTCTGGCTTGTCTTAAAGGACCATAACCTCATAATATGGACTCTAGAAATTCAGAGAGTACAGACAACATTGAAATAGAAGAGATGCAGTCGCCTATATACTGTATATTCACATTTATTTTGTTTTACTATAATGTACAAAACACATATTTGAATATTATACATTTTTATGCTTGGTCAAGCTTAATACTAATGGGAGGTTATTTTACAATCAGATCTCCATCACCATCCAATCTTGTATTCAGTGTCAAATTAAATCCCAGATTTCAAGCCTTGGCAATCATTTTCACTTCATAAGTCTTTTTGTTTTAGGTATATCATATAGTCTATAAGGTATATAGTCTATAAGGATTAGCTGTTTATGTTTTGTTGAATATATATTAAAAAAAACATTAAGCCAATGAATGATCTCATAGATTGTAAATAATAAAGTGTGATTAAATAATAAAGTAAACAAACCCTGTGAGCTTTATTTTTGATTCTATCCCACTATTCTTTCATTTTTCAGTCTGTCCGCTTGGGTTAGCTGGATAGGCAGGACATATGATAAGCGGGGCCTCATTTTTTCCAGATTTGTTCGTGCATGGGCTGAAAAAAGGATATAAAGTCTCTGCAAAGGAGTCTGTGAAGGTAAATATCAGTGACTTTGTATCTGCATTATAAAAGGACAATTGACCTTTTTCATAGTCCACATACACGCCGACGTGCTGTGGTTTTGGGTGTACAACTATAGGCATTGATGGTTCTGTGCGGAAGACATATTCATGCTTGTCTCGTAGACTTAGAAACCAAAATCCATTAGCTGGGTGTGCGACTATTTTTCCTTTCCTGTTGATGGAGTGACTAGCAATGCCCAAATCCCAGTCCGTCTTCTCACCCACAACAACTTCCCAGTAATGGCAGCCAGAGCTTATACCTTGGCGGCCAAGTACACACACTACACGGTCAAACCGTTCAATTGTGTCTGGCACTGTCTGGTAGCGGTCACGGCAGTGCACCTGTTTACCATCATCAGAGATAATCAGACGCGGATGGGCTGAGTCTCGATCTAGGGTCACATCCACTGAGGATAGAAACAGGACAGAGTCGAAAACAAGATGTTTGCAGACATACAAATGAAAAAGGTGACATAAATAACACATATTTGAAGTATCTAATAATATGAAATGATCTCATACTTGCATATTCCTGCACTTTCCACACTTCTACAGATATATGAAAGCAGAAAAAAATATTACTTTTAAAATGAAAAAGAAAAAGAAAAATGCAGAATTAAATGGCTTTGTACAAGACTATAAGTCCATTCATATACAATACCAGTCAAAAGTTTGGAATATTAGGCAGCAAAAACAGTTTTCAACATTGAAAATAAGAACCATTATTAATGCTTAAGGATCAAATCAGCATATACGTATAAGAATGATTTCTGAAGGATCATGTATGAAGACTAGACTAATGGCTGCTGAAAATTAAGCTGATAAAATAACATGAATAACTTATATTTTAAAATATATGAAAATAGAAAACAGTTCTTAAAATCTCAATTATTCCAAACTTCTGACCTGTAGTGTATTTTGTCATAATAATAATATCAACATATATGAAAACAGGCATTTTCAGCATTTTTTCAAGATTCAAGATTTTATTTTATGCTACTCTTGGGTAAGACGTAGTGTATTTGCATTTAATTTGTCATCGACAAATAATTTGTCATATGAGCCAACAATATATAGTCGATAATATCTTAAAAGCTTAAATTATAAGATTAGTTTTGAACCTGGCTTTGAAATGTGGACTGTAACAGAGAAAATGCAGTTCTGCACTCTGTAGTGACATTAAAACTGTGTAATTTTTATGATTTAGCCCCCAGCACTGAAAACTGTGACGGAAAGCTAAAATTGGACTGGTCGGAGGAAAAGGAGAAGAAAAAACGTACTTTGTTGATATATTTCCAGTGGGTCTCCTGTGGAAGGGCGCAAACCTGACAGCACAACAATACATACCATAAACATGACTGAGAAAACAGTTATGTGTACATGTAAAGATCAAAATTCTGGTCTTACAGTTTTTTTTTAATTTGCTTTGGTACTATTTTTACAAGCATCTGCTACATTTTCAAAACTCTTAGCACTAATATCACAACAGATCATCAAAAGTGACACAAAATAATTATTTAATCTATATAAATGTTTCATTCACAGTAACTACCTTTCATAAAACTCTTACTATCAAACTTTTCATTTGCATGTCTTTTCATTCAGTTTAATACATTTGTCTGTTATTTAATCTGACTCATCTAAATGGTTAATCAGTGAATCATTTGGTACATCTCTATACTATACTACTATATAGATATAGATTCAATAAAGAACTTGTTTGCAATTTAGGGATAACCAAATGTAATTAATAATTTTTTACACTATAAGTGATTTATCATAGATGATAACCACTATTTTGTAAGAGTGTGTGACTGAGTGGTTTAGGTAAACCCTATGTTACAGTATTGAGGACAAAATGTCCCCACAAAAATGGCAATATCTGAAATCCTTGTCCTTGTGGGAGATTTTTAATTTTTCTATGAGAAAAACCCAGAATTTTCGTAGGGTAGGCTTAGGAGTAGGGTTAGTGTAGGGTGATAGAATATAAAGTTTGTACAGTATAAAACCCATTACCCCTATGGAATGTCACCATAATGATAGGAATACCTGTGTGTGTGTGTGTACCTACTTAACCATATTGGGGACAAATTGGTACCCAGAAGTGAGCAAAACCTGACAAAATCGCCAAAAACCTGCTTTTGAGGACATCCTCATTTATAAAATGGTGTGTTTTGCCATTTGTGGACATACAGCAGGACACAAGGGAGAGGAACTGATCAGAGATTGATCAGAGATGTATCAGAAGAAGGGAGACAGATGGCATCAAATACAGCATTTTACATTACATTATGGCATGTGATACTGTATATAGAGGCATTGCCATGGTAGAGAATGCACATTACTATACCTCAACTTTCATCTGAAAAGTTCAGCTACAGTATAGATTCAGTCATATGGCACAGTAAGGACATTTCCTCCACTGACAGTAAACTCTGCTCTTGCACAAAACCTTATCGCCATGTCATACCTTTATCACACCTTTTGATAACACACTGGATAAATACTTTTACAAACATTAAGGATTTTATGTGAGATATGCAAGTTAGGTAATGTAAGTGTATTTTCTAACATGACAGTTATTGCCTGTATTACTGTAATTATTTCAGAAACAAAGGTGATTTGAAATATGAATCTTGCATTGTTTGCTCTTGAATGAACTGATTGTTAAAAGTACTAAATTGAAAGTTTTACTTAAATCTTACTGTTGTGTTTTGGTGATTAAATAAAATGTTCGCAATACATATCACAATGATCTTGTGTTCTGAAACAATGATTATGTGGAATGAAAATATGTGCAACTACAATGAAATCATGAGATCAGGTTTTGAAAGAATGACTAGTGGTGTTACAAGTGTGATCAGTTTAAAGTTTTGTACTAAGAGTTTTGAAAATGTACACCTTACTTATGAAAATAGTACCAAACCAATAAAAAAAACCTGTAAAATCTCCTTGGATTTTAAACAAACAATATGTTTGGTGAGGTGAAGCATCTGAAGTGCTCTTGAGTCAAAGATGATGTCATTCTGTTCACATTAACAATATTCAAACCCTATTAATTTGAAGGAATATATGAAAAATAAAATTCTGTTGTTATGCACTTTCCAGTCTACGGAAAAAAGTCATTTGGGTTTGGAACTGCAACGAAAGTGTATGTAAATTATCTGTTAAAGAGCGGTTTATGAAGGAACTTTGTCTTACAGATCGCAGATAGTCTTCTCAGGGCTTCCTGAACCTCCTCCACCATCTGAGTGGCATTTCTCAGCACTGCTCCTGCAGTGGGGTCAGGGGTCAAGGCCACTTCTGCCCAGCTCTTTGTCTCAGGTAAACTACTGTAGGCTGGATATGTCTGAAAAGAAACGACAATACATTAAATATTGGTTATATTTCAGGGTAATAAATATAAAACAAACAATTGGCTTTTGACAGGTTAAGTTATTTAAGGTGAATACATGGGACAATTTCTCAAATATCAATAATTAAAACAGTTTAAGTCTGGTTTTACCTTGAAGAAGGAAACATGATCTTGGGACTGGGTCAACTGATTGATGTCGCTAAATCTATTTCTAAGTTCAGAGATCTCCGTCTGCAGGTCACGTATGAAGGCCTGAGAGCGAAGTTCTGCAGCCTGCTGTCCCATCTCCACCACCTCCAGAAGTTCAGCCTGGGACTTCTCAACAGCTTTCATTAACTCAGCAAACATACTCACAGTACCTGCTTTCTCTCGCTCTGCATTTACCTTAAAGCAAACAAACGAGACGAAGAAGAAAATATAGCAGACAATTAGGAGAATTAAGAGAATGAGGAAACCACGTTCTTTCAAACCCATATGACTTTTTCTATGGAAAAAAAGGTATTTTGAAGAATATTCAAACAAATTTTCCCTTCAGGAACTCGAGCTGCGTCAAAACGCTTTGGGAATGCCCTTACGAGACCACGTTCTGAACTAAGTGCAATAGTAGGGACTTTAAGCAACAACAGCTGATGGAACGGCAAAGAAAGTGCGATTGCGCATGCGCGACTTTAAGTGCTGCTTCGTGACGTGTACATTGTAACGGTCTACTATGGGAGTACAGCTAATTTGCCATAGTCGCTACTACGTGACAGATTAAAAGGCGAGTATATTTTGCATGGTAAATCTAGGGTTTTAGACTTATTGGCATCATACAAGACTAAAAACTCTTCTTCTGACAATAAGTTGTCGTTTAATGCCAAAAGCACGCTTTCTCTTGCCCGTTTAAATGACATTTTTTATTACGGTAATGATAAATGATTGAATGTTTCACCGTCCTCTCGGTTGTTGCTGTTGCTTAGTGATTTTTGCGCTCTTTGGCTGCGGCAGTTAACAGTTTACATCAGATCACCGTTGCCGTAACAATATTACTTCTGAAAGGAGTAGTAATGAGTAATATATTACATTCTTTGAGTAACTAGCCCAACACTGATTGTCACACCCCTAGTGTCTATGAGCGTGATAAAGCTAATAATTTTCATAGCATAATATGACATAGCATTCATTCTTCAGGTCAATCATATATTCATGAAAAAAAAAAATCAGTTTGAGTAAGGAACACTTACTACTATAGGAACTATAACTTTGCCATAGTATCCTTTCAAATGTTAAAGTTGCCACAGTCATTGCATTCTTTGCATGTGCTGCACTTCATTTGTTCCATTTTGTTTTATTAGTTTATTTATTAGAATTTGAAAGATAATAACAATATTGATTAATAAGTGAGATCTGATTTTAGGTGTCCGCCCCCGCAACCCCCAAGCCCCGGAACAAAGTTCAGGCTCAGGATTTTTTTTGCTTTAACCCCTGTAATTGGTCTTCACACATCAAACTTGACAAAATTAAACAACAGGGCCATTATGCGTATGGCGACTTCAGTTGAGCAGGACATTACACACCCATTAAATTGGTACCCCACCCCAATCCCTTCAGGACTTAGTACAGGGTACTAAGGTCCAGAAGGGCTTGCTTCGGGAAAAGCCTAATTCCTGCTGTTATAGTGGCCCCGAATAAAAGGCCCCGCTGAATAGGCCAGGATGCGGACATTGATATAAAGCGGACTTTGTTAATGTAGTTTTGACATCTAGATGTGTAATACTTATGACAGGATGTTGTGTCATGGTGACACTGTCTGTGGAATGGAATGATGCTGTGAAGAAGAATTTCCCCTAAGGTGGACAATAAAGTCTAAAGTCTATACCTCTGTATATGGTGCCCGATCCTCCTCAGTGCCTTCAGGGAGCTACACTGCCACCCCTGGTGCTTCAGGGCTTAGTGAGCTCCAACAGGCAAACTTCCCAGCTGCCGCCCGGCAACGGTACAGCACGGGAAGTCTCGTCCCCTCAAGTGAGGGCGCTAGAGCAGTCAGGTTGGTCGTTCCCTGCCGGTCATCCACTTCAGGGCACCAAAGTGGCTCCACTAGCTACACCAGAGGCCAGTCTTGAGAGGCTGGTTCCCTTAGTAGACTTTCTGGCAGCGTGGAAACTTCTGCCAAATGTCTCACAATGGGTCCTGCAGACTGTAGAAAGAGGCTACAGAATTCAGTTCGGTTCTTGTCCACCTCGTTTCATTCCACCTCGTGGTCATTCCCACACTAGTGGGCCCCGTGCAGGCTCAGGTATTGGAACAAGAAGTAGACACTCTCTTGAGGAAGGAGGTCATAGAACGTGTTCCTACTCTCTCTCTCTCTCTCTCTCTCTCTCTCTCTCTCTCAGAGAGAGAGAGAGAGAGAGAGAGAGAGTCCGGTTTCTACAGCCGTTACTTCATCGTTCCGATGAAGGATGGGTGGTTGCGTCCGATCATAGATCTGCATCTACTGAACTGTGCTATCAAACGCTTTCGGTTCAAGATGCTCACTATCAAACAGATTGTGTCTCAAATCAGGTCCGAGGACTGGTTTGTCACGATTAGCTGCTTTTCCACTGTCGGGCCAGTGCGAGCCAGTGATTTAAACGGGCCGGGCGGGGCTAATAGCCTCGGACCTGTAGCACCGAGCCCAAAATCACGATGTGTTTCCACCGTCGGGTCAGAAGCTCCGCTGCGCTTCACTAAAACCCGCCCTTTGCACACTTCTCAGGAACAATGTCACGCAACCCCATCATTTCACCAACAAAGAGAAGATTTATCAGAAAACTAATCAGAAAGTCACTGGAACTAGCGCGATCACAAAACTAACATGATAAAAGCGGCCGTTTGTTTGCATGTTTTGTTAAAGATTTAAATCCAAAAGCATCGATGTTTTACAATAATAAGTGATACATTGATCATAATGATTTAATTTATCAGGATTGAAAATTAGTCACACAGAAATAAAGCGGTATGAACTGGGCCCCGTGCAGGCTCAGGTATTGGAACAAGAAGTAGACACTCTCTTGAGGAAGGAGGTCATAGAACGTGTTCCTACTCTCTCTCTCTCTCTCTCTCTCTCTCTCTCTCTCTCAGAGAGAGAGAGAGAGAGAGAGAGAGTCCGGTTTCTACAGCCGTTACTTCATCGTTCCGAAGAAGGATGGTGGGTTGCGTCCGAGCTTAGATATGCGTCTTTTGAATCGTGCTTTCAAAAGCCTTCGGTTCAAGATGCTCACTATCAAACAGATTGTGTCTCAAATCAGGTCCGAGGACTGGTTTGTCACGATTAGCTGCTTTTCCACTGTCGGGCCAGTGCGAGCCAGTGATTTAAACGGGCCGGGCGGGGCTAATAGCCTCGGACCTGTAGCACCGAGCCCAAAATCACGATGTGTTTCCACCGTCGGGTCAGAAGCTCCGCTGCGCTTCACTAAAACCCGCCCTTTGCACACTTCTCAGGAACAATGTCACGCAACCCCATCATTTCACCAACAAAGAGAAGATTTATCAGAAAACTAATCAGAAAGTCACTGGAACTAGCGCGATCACAAAACTAACATGATAAAAGCGGCCGTTTGTTTGCATGTTTTGTTAAAGATTTAAATCCAAAAGCATCGATGTTTTACAATAATAAGTGATACATTGATCATAATGATTTAATTTATCAGGATTGAAAATTAGTCACACAGAAATAAAGCGGTATGAACCGTTATTTAACAAAAGAAAGAGGACACAGCCTACTTATTCAGTCGAGTCTGTTATTGTTTATTTGTAGTCACAATCACATTTAGAAAGAATGATAATTTCTATATTTTTTCCATCAAAAATACGACCTGATTAGCAGAGGGAGCTCCCGAACAAAAACCATTATTATGATATTTTTTAAGACGTACACGGAGCTTATGACAGATAAAATATGTTACTAAATAAATACACGATTGTGATAGAGAATGAGAAGCTGACGTCTGATTTCCCATGTTTACCATGGTAACGTTAATGGCTAGCGTGCATAGTCTTTTGCATCGCTTATAAATACCTATTTCTGCATGGTATGGTGATCATAATCCACACTGGATCTCAAATCGAAGTTTCAAATACTCGCTGCTGTCTTAAAGTGAGATTTGAGCTCAACTTATTTTAAAAGTCTTTGATGCTGGTTTGTTATCTGTTAACTTTATGAAATAATGCGCGGCACTGACGTTCTCC